ACCAAAAAAAAAAAATTTTAAGTTGTCAAGCCTGCAGCAGAAGAGTAGAAAAATCTCACATATTGTGGGTGGACTACAAACAATTCGAGCAGTTAATTAAAAAACCCATTAAATAAATGCTCAAATGACAAGAACAGCAGGTCAAATCACCAAAAAGCACTAAAAAAATGTATACACGCCAGACACACGCACGCATGACATGCATGGATAAGCAAAGCAATGACATACCTGAAACCACACACATACTGATGGAACCACGTGGGCAGCACATGTTCAATAAAATGCAAGTCAACCTCTTCTGCTAGTCGTCTTTCAGCCTACCCATATTGGTGGTGTCATCATCAGAGATCCTACAGGATTGTTAGATTTGATTTCTATGACACGTCACAGTAGATTTGTAGGTAAATAATTTGGTTAGGCAACTTACATTGTTCAAACGATTTGATTTCTGCCAACACTGCTCAACTGTCAAATCAGATTTGTGATCAGACATAACTTTAGTTGCAATTTGTTAGGCAGGCAAAATTACATTGTTCAATAAAAATCACTTGTCCCTATTGTCTGAATGTCATTTTTCTTTCAGGTGGATAATGACTCCAAATCACTTGTTCTTGTGATCAGTTCCATAACTTTACAAGGTTCAGGTTAAACTTTTAAAACTGACTATCAGGATTCTCACTTAGTTTGAAGGCACTAAGACAAAAGATTAGTCTAGGAGTACCTGAATAAATTATATATATCTGTTGATCTTGTATCAGTTGAAAATTATAGTCAAAGCTAAGTTTTGGAGACATTCTTTGAAAATGAAAGAATCATTCCACTGGAGGGAGTAACTAGCATAACAACAATGATGATAATATGTGACAAGTTTTTCATGTATACACATTTGCAGGAGATAATGTTCCATATTGTTTCATGTCACTTGAAAAACAAGAGGCCATGGAATCGATATATAGATTGTTGACCTAGCATTTAGTGGATAAACACACTCTTAAATATCTTGCACATTCCTGCAACTAGATTTGCAAGATCTTGTCTACTTGAGTTTTTCTTTCTTACCTGTGCAAAATACTACTTAGTTTAGATAGGCACATTCTTGCAAGATCTGCCACATTCACACAAGCATAGATTGGGAGAAGCTTTGCAAAAAGAAGCGGATCAAGTGTATATAGACAGGCCCAGGGGGAAAGAAGACATATGTACCAGGCGATTTGAAAGGGAAATGCATTGCCCTCACAATTTCAAAGATAAGACTATCTTCAGTGTTTTTTTATATGGGAAGACAGCAAGTACAATAACTGTATCCAAATCCTAATGAACGGACAAGTTCTGCCATAAGACAATAGTCTGGCTGATAGTTTGGTACCAACACACCATCCCATCAACTGCATCAGAAGATTTACCATGTCATGCTTCAGAAGAATTTGCAGATAACTTCAAGCAATTACAGCCATGTTCCTTTGGTAGATAAAATAGGAAACAGCAATGCTTCAACTAGGTTGCTTCGCTCTTGAAGATACAATAACCGATCAAGTAAAATATATGTTTCAACCAGTGGACCTAAAGCAGCCCGAAGGCACCAAAAGGGACCTATATATTCCTGCAAGAATAAGAAAAACAGTCAGATTAGTTGATATGATAGAGTGTATCTTTTTGTATTATAATATCAGGGGAAAGCAGTCATATTTAAACCACTATTCTTTTATTTTATGAATATAAAGCAGTTGGAAAAGCATTTGGACGGACATGTTTTCTTGTTAGCTGTTGTGCACATTTATATGGTTTGTATGAGCATAATATAATATATGATATATGTTACTTAATAATGGAAATTGAATTTGATGATTATATTGAGACCCAATGGGGACTATATATAGAGTACATGGAGAGACATAAGAGGAAACCCTAGACTAGAAGATTACACTAATACTCTTGACTATTATACCTTAACAATATCTCCACTACTGCAAGGCATAACATATTGTACTTATCTAATTCTAGACTACTGTCACATAAGCAACACATGTTTTAATCTGCCTTATGTCTTTCTTCCAGTATTAAAACATAACAATTTACTATGATTTGCATAACTCTTTTGATACATTCCATCAACACACCTACCAGAAACACAGTGATGTAATTCCAATTTAAAGTACTATTGAAGAAACTGATAGCCACAATGGGGCCTTTACAGGATTTCCACACTAGTGTATTAAAACTGAAATGACCTCAGCAAGCATACTTATCAATGTGTACCAAGGACTTGCTTACCTAACGCATCATACAAGACAAAGACAGAATAAATAACAAATAACTTTGCTTCTATTGACAACAAACAAATAAGTGAAAATAATCAGTACTTGGAATAATACTATAACAAGATAGATAATAAAAAGGGTGTCCTGATAAAACCTACAGAGAATGGTTGCACGTCCTTCCATATTTCAAGAAGATGTGAGTCTTCCACTGAGCCACAGCCAAGGCAACCTAATCCAGATAATGTGAAATCTTTGAACAGGGTGAACTTTTGACATGCAGTTATGATGGATGTCATCTGGCCCTGTGTCAACTCCATATATGACTGAATCAACATCATTTGTGTTCTTGTTTTGTTCCTTTAAAGTTGAACAGGAGAAATCATCACTTTTCTCTTGTAGTCATTTGTGATTCCACAACTTTCCAAAGCCTCTGACGTCAAGAGCTTTTCCTTGCCTTCCAATTGATGGACTCAACCTTGACAGTTCTGGAAAATATTTCTCAAGTACCTAGAGCAAAAACATATAATCAAGTGAAGCCATAAATTTGAATGATACAAAAACAAATTGCTAGTTTACAAATCCAAAACCCAAAAGGTATCTTCCTTCATGTACTATCAACATCAAAAAAAC